CTACTCCTACTCCTACTACTACTCCTCCTCCTCCTCCTCCTACTACTACTACTACTACTACTACTACGATGACTACACTGCTAGTACTACTACCGCTACTACCCTACTACAGGAAGTCCTCTTGGATGCTGGTTACGAGAAGGGACGAGGTCGCTGGGACATGAACAACCTTTCCGACTGGGCCTCCTGGCTGGTTACCATGGTTACTGGCAAGCCTGTGAATGCATCAAGCTGAGCAGAGCCAGAAGAGACGAAAATGAGGCTGAAAAGGAGTTGCCGCCCAGCCCCGGATGCCCATTTTCAGAGTTCCTGGATTACGTAGGGCCCCAGGGAGATTGGGCCACCTCGTAAGTCTAGGCACCATAGGGCATTGGGTGGACTTGTAGCCCACAAGCCTTTTCTAAACCCAACCGGAATGCAGCGTTTGATTAGGGGGTTAAGGGCGGGGTGGGTGTTTCGGCGAAAAGGCTTCAGCGTCAAGGCTTTAGGACTCGCGGCTAAAGGCTTAAGGCTTAAGGCGTAGGCTGTCCAGCTTGAGGGCCAGGGTTGAGCCCAAGATCCTGCAACATGTTCTTGCCTTGTCTTCAGAATGTTAGGAGTGTTAGGGTGAGGCCATGCAACAATCCTTCTAGCAGTGCCTCCAAGAGCACCGATTCCTGTATCCGCGTGAGCTCCAAAACCAAAAAGCCTATGAAGTACATGAGGGAAGTATGTGCTTTAATTTAAGCAGAAACCGCATGCCTCAAAGGATGCCCCAGAACCGAAAAGCGCGCAACCTAAAGCCTGCACCCGAACCCCCAATTCCAAAACCCAAGCCTAAAAAACCTTAAGGCCCGTTTAGACCTTTGCAGCTTTAAACGCCACCTATAGTCTCCAGTATAGTTCCTTTTTTGGTTCAACCAACAATACAATAAGGATTCTTATAAGGTATCCCCAAAAAGGAACTACAACGGAGACTGCAGGCAACACCCGTAAATATTTTTACAAAGGTACCCTAAACCCTAAACCCTAAACCCTAAACCCTAAAACACTTCAAACGCCCCTGAGCTCCATCCCTTTCCAAGCCCTTCACCCGAAACCCCACCCATAGGGTTTAGGGTTTAGGGTTTAGGGTTTAGGGTTGATACCCTCCCCTTTTTTAGGGTGCCTAGTTCTTTAGTCAGGATCTGTTATATAAAAAGCAGTAGGTACCCCAAAAAAGGGCTAGGGTATGAGCCCCAAGTTTCGAAAGCCGAAACCCTCGTGCTGAAGCTTCGATCGAAAACTCCCACAGCCTCAGCACTAAACCAAGAACCAGCCAGATGGAGTTTCAAGAAGTCGAGGGAAAGGTTTGGGGTCTAAGCCCCTCAACGCTGAAACTTCAACCCTACATCCCCAACTCAAGTTCCTGAAACCCCTGAACCCTACAAGCCTGAACCCAACTGCCCTTAAGAACGGAGAACAGAATGAAGCTGAAGGCAGGCGTAGCCGAAGCGGGTGGTCCGGGTGTATTTCTGCAACAGCTGCTGCTGGAGGAGCCCTTCTTTGAGGGTTGAAGAGGTTTTCCACAGAGATACTTCTTACTCTACTTACAAGTACTGTACCCATGAACCTCCAAGTAGGGTTTAGTATTCTAGGAAACCTTCAGGGTTTCAGCGTTTCTAGCTCTCAGGATGTTGGGTCGCAGTCCGAAGTTGCTGGGTTGAAGCGATTAGGGTTCAGGGTTTAGGGTTCAATGTCGGGTTAGGGTTTAGACAGTCTCGGTAAGTCAGGATGAGGCTTAGGTGCCTAAATTAGAACACTTCTTCCTCGGTCCTCCGGTGAAGGATGCACGGGCTTCATGTAAGAGCTAGCTCTGAGACGCCGCCTTGATGAGTCACGACTCTACCTTGCGTCGTCACTGCATTCAGACTTACATGTGTTGATGTTTTTTCCTCAAAGGACCCTATGTACTGTTATGGGGGATGCTTCCCTATATCATCATAGCAACTCCTAATATAGAGACCCTACATTCTACTATATCGGGACTTTGGACCCTTTGGGTTCTGGGTTGAGGGAAGGTATCCAGTCATCCAAGATCTTCGGACCCCAGAAGCTGCTCCGCACAGCAGCGTCCCACGCTGAACAACCTCTAGTACTGACCTGACAGATTCATAACTATGATTATACTTACGGGTATTTAACTACGATAACTATACTATGACTAGTCGAATAATAGCATTTTTCCAGCATACTACTAAAGCGCAAGATCGTAGAGCTCCGTGCAGGACCGCAGCTTAGACGACGGCGATACCTTTGGCACTCTCTCCTTGACCGGATGCTTGACTGAGTGTTGCCTACGGTTTTGTATGCAGGGAGTGGGGTTTAGGGGTTAGCCCCGTTTTGAGTCGCGACTGAGCTGCGATTATCTGCATCATGAAGGATGGGAGCATGGCCCCGAACTAGCGACTGGATCCTCGGACCAGCTTCCTCAAAGAATCCGGGCTTGCCAACCAAATCAACCCGACACTGGAGGATCTTTTGATCCACACCCACAGCAGGGGTGGGGCCATGGTTTCTCCCTATGACGTCCACACCACGGACCAGAAGTTGTTGGAGCTCGGCTTCAGGCATTTTTTCACGACGGATTCGATTTGCCGTTGAATTGTCCCTGTGCCAATGAGGGCCTGGCCTGCAAGTCTCCAGGACTCCTTGCTGGTGTGCTTGGAACGGAGCGAGCCAGGACGGTCAGTAGTTCCCACACCCGGGCCTAATTCAGGGGCCTAAATAAAAGCCCATACTATTCTGGCGGCTTATTATATTTAAAGTATAACATATCCCAAAACCCTAGTCTAATCACTAAGGCCCCTACAGTAACTTAATGCTGCATGAAGTGCCCGAAGCCTAGCCGCTGCATTGTCTTCCAGTGCTGCAGCGCTCCCACGTGTCGGAGGTCTTGTTTGGAGGCACTTGAAGGATCAAGCGCCTTTTGTAAGCAGATTGTATATCAAGTTGCAAGTAGCCATTGCAGATCTAACTTAGGATTACTTGCCTGTAACTCTTCTAGTAAGTTCCCTGATCCCTAAATCTTGAAGCCCAAATCCGATATCGAAACCCCTGAACCCTGAAGCCATCTACAACGCAAACACTAGCGCGCTCCGAAATCCGAATCTACCCCCAATCAACCACCAGATTCCCTATACTCGTAATCATACAACGTTTAGGGTCTAAGGTTTAGGGTTTTCTGGTTTCGGCAAGGTCTGGGTTCAAAAAAGGGTTTATGGCATTGGGGTTTAGAGTTTAGGGCTTGGTAAGCCTTACTTTCATCTGTATAAGCCCTGCTCTCAACGCCGAAATTATCCTTGATCACCCGAACCCCCCAGCCCCCCCAAAAGGAGATGTAAACCCGGAGCTCTAGACTTTAATCCCTGCGCCCTAAACTTTAAAACACCCTAAATTTTGATCCTCGAACCTTAAAACTCTAAACTTGGAACTAAAACACCTAAATTTGTAAAGGTGGAGCCCTCAATCCTCAAAGGAGAGGTGACGCTGGTCATGGTGGCCAAAGATCTAGACGTCGAGGGCTTGCTCGAGACGCCAAGCACACGATTATCTTCTGTAGGGGTCTGAATAATTACTATGGTTGTTTCTTCGGGTTCCTCCTTATGCTTATACGTATAATATACTCCAAAAAACCCTACACCCTAAACCCTGTCCTCATTATTGAAGCCTCTACATGTGCGGAGGCTTTGCAGCTTCTCGGGTTGGAGTTGGATTTCTGGAGTGGAATGTATGGGTTGGCCTTTTGTGACGGGAAGTGTCTGGAGTGTAAGTGTAGGGCCTTTGCAGTCCAAGCTTGAGTTAAAGATTGTAGGTTTCGACGGATGGGAGCATCACATTATCCGTTGTGTTTTGCATGCTTTTCCTTGGTCAGGTTAGGCAGGTGTACCCGACATGCTTGCAACACCTTGAAGCTGAGTTTGTATATGTTTAATCGTACGAAGCGGTGGGGTCCGCAGATAACTACTGGGGTAGCCGGGTAGCCGTCATAAGTGCAGTCGTTGGGCTTCGGAGTGGTCCCCTCTAAGATGTGCTGCATGATGTCTGCATTGCACTGATACAATGGGTTGGATGAGGCACAGCGTACCATCAGCCTGTATCACTGATACAAGCTGATGGTACGGTGTGCCTCATTCAATGCCCAAAGGGGCCGATGGACCCATATAGTAGAATATAGGGTTTCTATATAGGTGTCGAATCCTTGGTACGGTTTGGGAATGCATCCCCCATAGCAGTACCAAGGGCCCTTTAAGACCAAGCAACAGCTGCCCTCTGTTTCTCAAAAGCTCCCTGCGCCACGCATCCAGGCGGTGCCCCAACCTGCAGGCAGTGGAGCCACTAACGCCCCTAATTGTACCAAATCCTCTGAATTTAAAGCCTAACCTCTAGGAGTCGAACTGAAGATACTGCAACACACCGCCTCTACAACCCCATTGTTTATGACGGCCCAACAGATCCCCCCAAAGCAGCGTCTGACATGCCACAACCGGGGCCTTCGCTTCAAGACTCTTGCGGCCCGAATTCCTTCTTTGGTGCTATGGTCTCCTTTATAGAAATCTCACCAAAATGTGTTTTTTGCTTGCCTCCTAATTGGGAGTTAGAGTATTGGATATTGATAGAGAGCCATTTGCGCCGCTTTTTTTTCAACCTCAACCTCGATACCCAACCCTACATCTATAACATTCTTTATCCACAGGGTTCAGGGTTTAGGTTTACGGAACCTCGATAACTTAACCAACCCTACATCTTTACATTCTTTAACCATAGGGTTTAGGGCTTGGGGTCCCAATCCTACATCCTAAACCCTAAACCCTAAACCCCTAAACCCTAAACCCTAAACCCTAAACCCTAACCCCTAAACCCTAAACCTTTAACCACGAGCCCTGGGATCTTCATGCAATGTTCCAGACCGCCATATGGGCGGTTGTCAAAATTCGGGTCTCTTTTTGGGTCCGTATTAGAATACGGCACCTAGTATTTAGGGTCCCCCAAAAGGGACCGTAATTTTGACAACTACCCATATGGGGTTCAAGGTTTGAGGTGTGTTTCAGGGTTTAGCCCTAAACCCTAGGCCCCCCACCTCCGAAGATGCCAAGGAGGCTGCGTCAGTCGACATCCCCCGGGAAATGGCCCATCAGAGCCTCAGTACATGAGGTTTAGGGTTTAGGGTTTAGGGTTTAGGCAGTACATGATTTGAGTGTTGACGCTTGGGGGCAC